CAGACTCCAACCGTTTGTCCCACTAGTGCAACTGAAATGTGTTAGAAGTTGCACTGGTGCCCCGAAATCACCAATTCACAAATGGCACAATCCAATCACCACAAAAGTGGGATCAAATCAATTTTATGCAAATTTATATTCATTAAATTAATTAATAGAGTCAAGTCAAGTCACCTTCAAAATATAGATTGTTTCAAAGCAGCTTTACAGTGATAATAGGAAATTAAAATAACAGATTGTTTTGGCTTTACAGCAGCTCTAGAATAAAGTTATTGTCCAGCTAAAGTACGTTTTTGATTGATTCACTTCCATTGCAAAGATCATTAGTAATTAACTTAGGGGCCGCTTACATGACACCATTCTAACCGGAAACCTCCAACGTGCTCTGGCCGTTCATTTACACGACAACGTTGTTTGGTGGCTCGAGAACGCAAACTTTGAAATAGGTTCCAAGGTGCAAGTTTTGAAAAAAAATTGATAAACTTTATCATCTACGTGTAAACTTCAAAAACGTGAATCTGTGAAAACAGTGCACATGCATATTACGTGTTTAGTCTATAGATATGCGCGTTTGAATATGTATGTGCGCAGGCAAGTAGTCTTTCTTTACAAATTGACCGCCAAACTACTTGTCAGACCTGCATAATACTGATTTTTTTTGTCGTTTCCGCGGATTCACAATAGAGCAATATATGCATTCAATTAGACAATATTAATAAATATTTTTTTAAAGTTATTTTTTTTTTACTTTCACTGTATTTCACTCTATGGAAAAGAGCAGCCTGGACATACATGTTCATGTTTTTTTTAACATACAAAATGCATGAGCTGTAATAAAGCTGGACTGAAAATAAGTATTTGTGCATCCATTGATCTCTGTCAAGGTATAGAAAAATCTACACCACAGATGGGACTTGCCAGAGGTTATGTAAAATGAATTATAGAGCAAAAAAAAAGGAAAAAAGATGAAAATCGATATGTGATCCATTAAGGAGTTAAGTGCTGTGTTCTGACAGGTGGCTCTGTCCCAGGCTGCTCACGTCAATGACGGAAAACCATCCGGGCGTAAATAATGCACGAATAAATCAGCCAGAGATTAATCCTCTCATCGTTCAGGAGAGGAAACCCACAGCAGGACTAAATCACAGCAAACAACATTAGCTTGTGAAGCCATCTATGAATGCGGCCATACGCTTCGACCGTTCTGGGGAGCATGTGCGATATTTGCATGAAGGCTGTCTCTCAAGACGATGAAAGATTCATCAAAGAGCGGAGACTTGCTTTGAGTGCAAGCCAAGGCGCTGGAGCCCTCACTAGCTTGAGAAGAAATCACACCGCTTTTCAATTTTAGCACCACCCAAACCCATTTAGAATCTTTATGTTATATGCATGCGTACATTCAAAAGGGTGATGAGAAACGGGCCATGTTGCCTGGCAGAACGTGGAAACTATATCGATCTGATGCCTCCCAAGAAAAGCTAAACGTCTTCGCAATGGCGATGATGTAATCATCCTCCTCCAGTGATGATTTAGTCATGCGGTGTTAGAAGAATCCTATAATGGGTTTGGCCTCCAAAAGATTACATTTTCCAAAGCCCAGTAAGAATTTAAAGCCAGACACATCTACTAAGATCTCTTGCTGTGGTTTAACAATGTGAGCGGCTACCTGAAGGCTCTCTCCTCTAATCAACATTTCTCAGTTCAGGGCACACATTATTATGAAGGTAGGCAGGAGGGCGTCTCATTATCCGGAGTGTCTGAGATTACGACTCTGAAGGACTTTCATCAGAGCTGTGCTTGAATCCTGGACTGTGTGCTGGCCACTTTGTATTCAACCGCTTCATATGTCGTGCCTCCCTAGTCAATAGTGATGAAACAAGCTTGCGTCTTGCTGAGAGAACAATAACGTAGTGTTCAAAGATTTATATCACTGTTAGACTATTCACAACAAGAGAGATAGCGGAGACCTCCACTGTTATCTGAAACGATGTTTGACAAAGAACTATATACAGGGAGCCTTTTATTTCGACACACCCATCTTATGTAACCCGACATACGACATCTGAATCTCAGTGCGGGATGACAAGAGGTCATGTCTCATTAAATGAAAAGGGTCACAGTAGGGCTGGGTGGTGTGACCATAATGTTTCAACTGTAGATACTGTGCTATAGGGTTTTATGTGATTTACATTTGAGAGCAATAATGAAACGCATTATTCCAGACTTCTTCATTTGTTATAAATGATTTTCTCTTAGATAAAGTTCCAAAAAATGTTCCAACAGTAAATATTACAACTTCATTGCAATTAAATTCATTTAATTAAATAAAAATTACTTAAATTTGAAATCATTTCATAAATAAATTTGCTTAATTATTGAACAATAAGAACTACTGCATGTTTACATAAAAAATTGACCATGGACGTAGAATATGCAGGGGACGTAAACCCGTCCCCCTTACCGTTTTGGGGGCAAGTGCGTTCACTTAGGCCCCGTCCACACTACTGCGTTTTCGTTTAAAAACGGAGACCTTTTGCTACGTTTGCACCTCCCGTCCACACTAAAACGGCAAAAACGGAGACCCAAAACGGAGAAGTTTAGAAACGCTGCCGACCCGTTTTTCGTTTTGAATCTCCGGAGGGCGTTTTAGTGTAGACGGGTCAAAACGGAGGACTTTAGAAACGACAACGTAGTAGAGGCTCACGCTCGGCTCTATGATTGGGTGTCATCAGTCATGGCGTATATCTTTGCTAGCAGCTGTTGTACAAGTAAATTCTGCATTTTACAACGCTATAACTGCCTACATGCGCCGGAGTCAAGCTATTATTCGAGCGATCTGTGACAATTCCCGTGTGCAGCGGCGGTGTTGACCGTACATGGAGCGTCGGTTTGGGGTTAACCCAGAGCATGGTGGGATAATTTTATCAATGAAGTTGTGTTTACACCGGCACGCGCATGCCCAGTGTTGGTGAATGGTCACGTGATCCGCGTTTTCAGTCGTTTTAATGTGGACGGAAATCAATTCTAATACGCAGCTAAAACGCTGGTGTGGACGGAGATCGTATTCGTTTTAATTATCCGTTTCTAAACTAAAACGCAGTAGTGTGGATGGGGCCTTAGAGGTTTTCATGGGCCAATGTGAATAAATCTAGATTTAAATTTAAAGAGACAAGGTAGTCTATGCATGACCTGATGCTTTTATTCTTATCCAAAATGAGGCGATACTAGAAGCCGGAGGGCGCTCTCTCGCAGAAAGTCCAAAACAGATACATAGAAGTAATAACTCATGCCGTTCCAGGAAATCCCTTATTTGGACAAAGGCATTCTATTGGCTGTAGCTGAATAAAAAGACATTTTAATGAAATGTGAAGACAACCGCAATATATGGTTTATGTGTGTTATTCAAGCTATCTCAGGGTATTTTCATAATAAAGTATGAATATTATAATGAATAATGTAGTGTAATTCACATCACTATTTTCTGCAATCTTTTTTTACATTGTATAAAATCTTATATAAGACTTGCGCAGTGTTTGTAGTACATAAATCAATTATACCATTTTCACAAGGAATATACAAAAAAATATAGAATACAAATTATTGTTTGTTCAGCAGTGTATTTGATTTCTTAGCCAATTAAAAAGTAAGAGATTAGAAAAAATAAAACCTGTAAATTAGACAAAGGTAAGAAATAAATCTGGCATTACACTTGACATTTCTGTCCCCCTCACTTGTGACACGATGGCTATGCCCCTACAATTTACCATTATACACAAATACTGACAAAGGATTTTGGTCTGTGCAGAGCATTGTAAAAAATATTAGTATTACAGAAATTAGCTTTTTTTTTTCAGTGTTCTTTTGATGAATAGAAAGTTAAACAACAGCATTTGAAACTGAAATCTTTTGTAACATTACAAATGTTTGTACTGTCACTTTTGATCAATTCAATGAATCCTTGCTAAATAAAAGCATTGCTATTTTTTTATTTCAAAATTTTGAACAGTAGTGTATTCTGCTCTATAAAAAAATGAGTGAAGCATTAAATACAAAAACAACTGTTTAACATCATGCAAACACCAGTCTGTCAAGTCATTCATCCTGAAGAAAAATGAAGCTCAACTTCCTTCAGCAACACTACTACAGCTATTCTGTGCTAGTAGTCACTCTGTAGATGAGAGACGGCTGTTCTGCTGAAGGGTCTGCCTTACATCAACAAAACCACACAAGTACAGGCCTGATGAAGCTAACGCAATGATCCATTCCCCCTCCGGACAAAGCTCTGTTCTGCACCGCACAAATGAAAGCTTATACTATCACTGAGAGCACATTTGCTGTGGGACGCAATGAGAAAGCCCTGAGTATCAGCCGAAAATGCCACTCTTTTGATTTGAATCAGATCCTTCACATTCTGCCAGACGTTACTAGGAAAATCTAATTTACAGGAGAGGAGATCGGAAATATGAGCAAAGTTCTGCATTATCCTGATTCAATGAAGGCTTGGAAATGGGCTTTGTGTGTGTACTTCAGGTCACGCTTGAGAGTCCAACATCTTTTTGGTTTCAAAAAGGCTTTCAATTTATCAGAGTGGGTACAGAGCTTCCTGGATATACTGGGATCTCCAAATGAGCTCTAAGTGGGATGACGGAGTGTGTGTGTGTGTGTATTTGTTTGACTTGGCTCAACGACCGGGCAAACAGCCGGACCACCGGGAGAAGACAGACCTAAGGCCCCTGTGGCTCTCCTGAGTGGTCTATTGTGCCCTGCCAACTATAAATGTCACTGATTTCCAACAATTGCATACTAAGATTTAGGAAATCTGTGTCTTTAAACGTGTAGGAGTCGAGAACAAATGCCAGCTACAGGCTTCAAGCTTCCTACAGGCAGCGTGTCAATTATAGCCAGCTTGATATCAAATCCTTTGGCCATAAACACACATTCAGTCTGGTAAAACATGAACAAAAACAAAAAAAACATCTGTACACTCCAGGTTTACATACCTCTTTGCCTGAGAGATAATAGGCGGACAGCAGGCCTCCGACAAAACGGATGTTCACTTCAAAGACAGATATTTCGGCATTCTGAGGAAATAAAGCACAGAAAAACAAAAGAGGTGAATATTTAAGCTCATGAAAACAATGCGACTGGCTCACCTTGAACTGCAGGCTGTAAAAATAGGAAGGGGGAAAAAAATGTGTGTACTACAAACACACTTCACCCTCACACACCAAATACAAAGAAATGAAACAATACAACAGAGCTGATAAAGCTCCGCTGGGATTGAGCAAAGATACAAACAAGCTCCCACAGGAGGGTGAAATCTGAGTGCAGATATTTTCTGCAGATCTGAGAAACCGTGACTGCTGGGTAAAGGGGTACCCTAATGCACGTTACATGAACAAAAACATCACTCACAGGATACAGAGCCATAAAGAGAGGATGCTCCAGACACTATCTTCAAATTAAATAAATAGAAAAAATCTAATATTTCAATAGAAAACCTCTTTGATGTTATACTTTCATCATATTTATCTGCAGTAGAGAATACTTATCCCACTATTACATCTCTAACTATATTATATTAAATATCTTTTATACCCGTGGTTCTCAGACAGGTGGAACACAGCACAACCCTGGATATTTACCGTATTTAATCATATATTTCCGTTTTCACTTGTACAGTATATTATTTATGGCAAAATGAGTAGAAGAAATGAGCACATTTAGATATTTTGAAATACTGTAATTCTGTGTATATATCTGGATTGTGCGCTGTCTGAGGCGTCTGTGTTCACGCTTCGGATGTCTCAGTCAGCGCGAGTAAGATCGTTTTGTTTACATCAGTATGAGTTTGAAAATCATATTTCATTGGTTCAGATTCATGCCATCGAGAATTCGATATGAATATTCAAAAAGTTGAAATGCCGCGCTTTAAAACGATACCAAACTTGTGCTGAGGGGAAGTGGCAGTCGTCAAGAAGCGAGTAGAGAAAACAGCATTTTTCATGGACAGAGGAAAGGTACTCCTCAGAAAACATACAAATAAAGATACTTTTAGATGTTTTAGATGAGGACTTGAACAATTTTTTTGTAAAAACCTCATTCTACTAAAATTTACGTAATTATCCCATGCGCATTCCGACTCAATTTGCCAGCACGGGTCACTCACATATATTAAAAACAACATAATAATTATTAATTTAAGTATATATTAAAACAATACAAATACTTAATTACATTTTTTGTTTAAAACATTATTGTTTTAATTTCTCATTCTAATTGCAATATATCTTTGTGCACCTAAAACTCATGCATAGCCCATGTTTAGATTGTGTATAGGTAATGTTCTCTTACTGGTGCAGAGTGCCAATTTGAAAAAAGGTTACACTACTAGGCCTCAAAAGTTTGAGAACAACATTTGAAATGAAAAACAAAACCCAAACAAACTGAACTCACCAAACAGCAGTTTTGGCTGGAACAGTTTACATTATATTACATCAATATTTCAGATTGTGACTATGCAATCTGGCACCTGTGGCATGAAACCAAACCGCAATTCTCATTTAGCCTTTGTCATTTGATGTTAAACAGTCTGACCACAGCAAGACATCTGTGGTCTCGTCTGAGGGTTTATGAGGTGAATTATTTGTGTCTCTGGGCAACCACACAATAATGACCCATTATTGCTTAGCATAGGAAAGTGCTTTAATACGCTATCAAAACAATTTCATAATGGTGCACAGGTGGCGCAGCAGAGACATATCTTGCATCACATTGGTAAATATCCATTCAGACCAAGATAAATAGCTGATATCTAGGGGTGGTTAGGGGTGTTATGAGGGGCTTTTGCACCCGGTAGTTATAAGAACTCCGCTATAGGAACTAGCCACCATTACTACATTTTCCCTGAGTACCATTTTCCTGGTTGCATTCGCAACACCAGTCGGAACACTAAAGTGACGTAAGATGGCCAACAGCAACGACATTTAGCCCTCTGGGGTCCAAGGTGCTTTTGGGGTCCTTGAGATGTTTTGACATACTCTGACATTTGTGCTTTTTTCAGTTGCTTATAAACAAATTACTGGCAAAGGTGTAATTACACTCTATTTAGCACAAACAGGGCTACCATAATATGTTATCAACATGTATGTACATTAGGGGTTGAACGACTTCAGATTTTTTGAAGTCGACTGTTATGACATCAAAGTCGAGTCGACGTCGACTAGTCGATGACGTCATTCATAAAAACACAAGAGATGGGACTGCTTTGCAACATGCCACAATTTGCATTTAATTAACAGAAAATTATACAGATGCTGACAGACAGCTCATTATGGGGCCGTTTACACCTGGTCACTTCATGTTTTTTTACTGATCTGATTTATCAAAACGATTCCATTTAGCCTACACCTGGTCACATAAATAGGTTTTCGCAAAACAGATATAAATCTGATCTTCAAACAACGTGCTATGCAGATTTAACAGAGTTCACGTCACCGAAAGCAACAATAATGAGCTGCATTTTATTGATCATCAGCTAATTTCAAAATCAAAGACCGCAATAAGAGAGACAGCACTGGTAAGATCATTTTGTTTCTTTACTTTTAATGAAGACGATTGTGTGTTAAGCGTCTGACTTACTTTCACTTTGATTTGTGATAGTTTGCACGTTGGCTTGATGAATATAGATGCTCGAGCTGCTCATATGCGGCGATGCGTGTTGCCATAGCTTCATCGCTATAATACGCTCTCACACGTTTATTTTTAGCATTGTTGGGAGAAGTCCAATTTACATATGTGGTTTCAACAACCAGATGCATTTACACTTGTCCAGTTTCGTCTGTTAAGCAGCCCAGACCTCCTCCTGAAGCGGTTTGAGCGATCGGATTTAAATTCGTCTCGAGTGCGTTTCGGAGGGCATTTACACCTGGTCTTTTCACGATCGGATAGCTATCAGATCACAGAAACACATGAAGTGGCCTGGTGTAAACAGCCCGCAGTTACATCATCATTTAGGAAGAAAAGAAAAGGAAAAAAAGCTATAAATTCACATCTGCGCCTTAGTGATGCGCAGATCCAAGTAATAGGCCTACAAAATAATATTCCAATTAATTGCGGGTGAATTAGCTACATCATTAATATGTTTAAATAAATAAATTTAAAAAAAAAAAATGTTTTAATGATTTTAATAAAGATACTGAACTCTCATTTCCGGTAAAACAGTGAGCGTGCGTCATGCTTTTACTTTCGTTTTCAACAATATCTAGTGTTAGGTTAGTAAAGTATTTACACACACTTGATGTACCAATGCTGCTTTCTTGCTGCAATGACCCTCTGGGCTCTTCATCTGTTGTCGTCTGCAACATGTTAGTATCAAAATTAGCGCAATCATAGTGTCACATGATCAACGCGACTAGTCGACGTCAAGCTTAAAGCGTCGCGGTATTTCATTAAGGTCGGTTTTTGAGAGAATATTGTTTATGCGTGGTTATTGAAAAAACTAAAACTTAAAGTTTCTGAAATAAGGCCACAAAACGCATACTAAATATGTGTCCACAAGACTTTTGACTAATGGATGTTGTCGCCTAGAGTTTTTTTCTTCAAAATGATCTGAAAATCATCCTGCCTTATCATTCACATAAAACAATAGATTGGTTTAAATTTAAAATTTAATATGCAATAGGCAATATGCACAGGGGTGTGACCTGCTGTGATTCACACCTGAAAAGACAATGGGCCCGCATAATGAGCGCATAATGGGCTGCATACTAATGATGACCCTTTCATTCAGGTGTGTCACTGAGCCACAAGAATGCAATGACAAATATATATATATATATATATATATATATAGGCCTATATAATACAAAATTGGTTCACAGTTCCAATTATTTAATTATTTTTATTTCAAATTGTGCTTGCAAATTGTATAATATCAAATGTAAACATTTTTAGTAATTGTGCAGTTAATTATCATACTGTTTTTACAGAAAGTTTGGGAATATATCCCAAATGTGTCACTAATAAAACACAATACAAATAATTTAAAGAGGAGGCTTATATTGAGCTTTTAAGATTTACCTAAGATTTATTTATATGTAGCCTACATATATTTTTGCTATTTTAATAAAAAGGTTACAATTACAACAACAATTAATATTTTAACTATATTTCAAATGTAATCTTTCTTTGTATGTACTAAAGTATACATTTTATCATACATATTTCACAGTTGCGGATTAATTAGTTTGAATATAGCCTACAATCGAACAAACACTATAACAACATCTTAGCAAACAAGCTTATTTGATGTGGCAGTATTTTACAGTAAAAACGACATCTTGTCTTTCATATGTAACATATCGTTTTTATGATTAGGACATATAAATGTTAATTTGCAGTTTAATACGTTGCTTATACAAAAATATTTTATTTCAACATATTTCAGTCGATTTTTACTCATCTCAGTATTGGAATATAGTTAGGTAAAAGCTTTTCATTCATTCACACACAAAAATGCGATTCATATTCAAACAGTCTTTTTGTTTACAGACACCATTTCATATCGCTATTAGAACAAAGCACTTGAAAATAAAGAATGTACCTATTCCTCAGCTGGATCCGTTGCTCCTCCAAATGAAACTATCTGCACTTCTGAGGTAATTTTTTCCAGGATTATTATTAAGATAGTATTATTCCTCACAGCGTCGTAAATATGAGTCTCTTTCGGTGGTTATCCAGCTGATGTGGGCGTGGATCGCCTCAGAGCATTTGTGTTTGAATAGAGCGCGCGCTCCGTGGGCGTGGTCAAATTAATTTTAATGACCTAAGACGAGAACGACTATCATCTCTCTCTTTTTGTACAGATTACATAAAATGAGAAAATTTGTTTTTTATATAAATTACTTCATTTAAAAGAAGATAATTCAGGCTTCATCCCTGTGTGCCTGTATACCTGTTTGACTGAGTATTTGCAGAGTTACAGTTCATTTTTCGGACGCGTTTCAGAATGGACTTCACTGACAGAGAGAACGCAGAACACGCATCATGTTTATTTCTTTATTAGGCGAAAAGCACAACA